TGTGCCTCATTTATTGATTATTTCCTCTGAGATACTCTAGCTGTGGTTTAATGTGAGACTTCATATGGTTAAAACTACCTAACACAGATAATCTAACACGATCATGACTTTAAAATCTAATATCCAATCACATGGGCCCCTCGGTTGAGGGTTGTTAATACAGTAAACACTGTATTAACAGTATTAATACCATTGTGGTGCTTTTTAAAAGTAACAAAAGACATCTCATTATGTTTAACAGTTTTAACTGGGATGGATTTTGAACGTCATGCTTATGCAGAGCTGGATTATCACCAGAGGAAGCTCCACGTTACATTTTGAATTTGTCATGGTTCTCAAGATCTGGAGAGGTCGTGGTGTGTGTATTTTTTATCTTAGCCTCTCCCACCAGGGCGGAACTGGACCTTGATTCCCCGCCTCTGAACCCGCCCTGAACAAGCACCTGTGGCTCATTCACACTGATCCTGGCAGACTACTTAAGATGGCAAGAGAGGCTGCTTCCTCGCTGGATCGTCACACTACCTAGCGTCAGTGTAGCCTAGCCCATTAAAGTGTTCCCTTTGATCTCCTAGAGTTTCCTCCTGACATTGTTTCTTCTCTGTGTACAGGCCTTCTAGACTCCCTGCCCGTCTTCCCTGCCGTCTGGATTTCTGTGGATGTGTGTGAGTGAGCGTGAGCTTTTTGGTGTGGACATTTGGAGTGAGTTACGGATCAAGTTGAAGAAGAGCGTGTGTGTACCCCCGTCTTGGACCTTCCCTTCGGACCCCGCCCTACTCCCTGGAGCCCCGTGTTATCTGTTCCACTGTATATATGTATATATTCTCACTTGGTGTCACATTGCAAATAAACCCTCACCTTCTCTCTAAACTTCAGAGTCCTGCGAGTGAGTCCTCTGCCTACTAATCTGTGACAGAATTGTTGGTTGTGCCAGAAATGTTTAAAGACAAAACTCTGTCTGAAAACAACACATGCTTCAAAAAAGAACGTTAGCTCTTGAGTATGTCTCCAGAACACTTATGTTCATTTTTAAGGACAAACACTCAAACTTTTTTCCCTGTTTGCTCTCAGTTTAGATGATAGGTGCACCTGATGAAGCCTTGTCTCCTTCCTATTCCTTTTCTTTCTTTTTTTTTTGAATTTCAAGACGTGACATCATCTCTTATTTTGTTTAATATCAGTTCAGTTCATTTTTATTTCAAACATGAGCCTTCACAATCATTACAATATATTATTCCATTATTTGTTTGAAAAGGAGTAGGTAGAAGTATTTACTTATTTGTCCCTACCCCCTCAAGTTTTACCTCTCATTCATTTAATTTTTTTTTTTTTTAGTCTTAAATTAAACAAACAAACATCTGCAGTGCTTTGTTTAAGGTTTTCGTTCACTGTTATATTTTTTAAATCATCCCCTATGGCACCTGTAGTGCTACTGTCTGCATGTTGAAGCACTCTGTGAACTGTTTTTAGACACTGCTGTTTAATAAATTGCACATTCCTGCAGTTTTAACAATCATCATTCAAGTCTAATTAAAAATTCTGAAAATACAAACAGTTAATAAATCAAAACAACAGTAACCTGTGTTGTGTTTCACTCACATGGAAAGCAAACTGTCCTGAGAAGTCGTACATGCCACAGGAGTGCATCAGACTCAGCGTGTTCCTCACCGCCTCTGGGCTCAGCACGCGCTCGCCCGTGATTGGGCAGATACCCCCGTTGGCCAGGGTGGCCGCCATGACACTGGCACTCTCACATGTCACCTCAATGGAGCAGAGCTGGAGAGGCAGAGACAATAACTCTGTTACTGCACCTTGATTTACAAAGCGAGGTGACAGAAAAGTGAAAGTAAAGGGTGGAAATGATGGAAATAAATCCATCTGATTGGTTTGGGAGATACTGGAACAGCATATAGAGGTAAAGCCATCTGTGTGTGGTCAGGAAGCTGTGTATGTATCACACAGAAAGAAGCGATGGAAACAACTGGTCAGGAAACTTTACTCTTGAGGATAAAAATCAATAGCAGGAAACAGCTCAGCAATGAAGCAGGAAAACAATCTAATGATATCCTCTCATTAAAAATGTATAAATACTGGAAGAAGCTAAAGTTACACTCACTTGAAAGTACAAGTCCAGTACAGAGGTCATGTCTGCCCCCTCTGGGAAACACTGCAGAGAGGAGAAAACACATTTAATAACCACGCTCTCATGCTGAAGAGACTTGAAAGCATCAGGTACAAGAGCCAAAGGGCTGAAACCCTTTAAATATGTGTTTCAGTCTCCTCTTCCTCTAATATCCATCCATCATCTGTCCATCATCTTTGATTCAGTTCTTCTGGTTTATGTTTGTTGAGCTGAGCAGTCACAGCTTACGAGTGTCGTCAGCCCCATTAAAGACTCGTTTTACACCAGACCACCAGATCAAAGGTTTACTGTTTCAAACTTTTGTTTTCTTCACAGGAAAAAACCCGATGATCTGATCTGTGACCCCGGCAAAAACCAGGCTGCTGTGTCCTAGATAAGAACATAACCACCAGGGTTTTTTCTGCTCTAAACTGGAAAAACTGCAGCGTCAGTTTTTCCATTCATGGGTTTAAAAAGTGTCAGGGGTCTCAGCTGACTCCTACCAAAAGGCAAATCAGGAGGGTTACAAGCAGCTGAATCAAAAATATGCAGATTTTTCTCATTTATGCATGAACGTATTTAAGGGGCGAGAAGCATTACATGCTGAGCTGCTGGCTGTAAACTTCCAAGCTTCAGTGGCAAAATAAGCAGAAACGTGAGGCCCGATTCGTTTAAACTCTAAATTCTTTCCAGGTTTTCAGAGAAGTGAATCACAAAGACAAACCTTTTTTTCTTTCAGGTAGTAGCCGATGGCGAAGTTCCTATCTCCTGACTCACGCTCAGACTGGAATCTGTCACACAAAGAAGAGCAGACCCATTACAGATGAAGGTCGTGTGTTTTTTCAGTGCTGTGCTGGTATTCACAGACCTCGCCCTTCATGTGTACAACATAACGACAGCTCACACAATCATGTGATGACACTGTGATTTATGACGGCTGCAACACGAGCCGTCATAAATCATGCAAACCTTTAAAACCTGATCAGCACCTGTGGAAGTTCTCAGCACACAATAGATGTGGGTCTGTAAACAGTTTTCAGCCTTTTTGTATGAAGAAAAGTTTTTTTTACATGATTAATTATTATTATTGTTGTTCTGAGCAGGTATTATAAGACAGTTCTGCTTTTATCTGACTTCTCGTTAACATAAGCCATTTAAAACATGGCCTGTGTGCTTGTCAATTTGATCCCACAATTTACGCTTCCTGTAATGAGCCTGTGAAGGTTATTAGGGTGGTGGTTAGGTTAGCTCGGTTCGGGGGTTTGCAGGGCAAGGATAAGTAAACTTATTGGGTGATTTTAAGGAGGCAATGTGGAGGGAGGACTTACGTGGCGTTGCTGAAACCCACATACTCGTTTCCCGCCATCTTTTTCAGAAAGTTCATGACCTGGAGGGAAAGCAGGAGGAGAGTCGAGGTGAAAAAAAATGATCCAGAGGTTCATGTATGGAGGTCAAACACTACAAATGATAAGAGCTGCCAGCTAAACAGCATATATAAAATATCATGAGTCCCTCTAAACTTATTCAACACACACTGAGCTGCAGATAATTAAACCTCAAGAGAAAATTCAATGTTTGAGCACAGTGAGGAGGATTGTATAAAATCAAACAGGTGTCAATGTTTTCACGAGTACTGACTCTTTCCTGCACGAGAGCGTCGACTGCACCAATAAAAACATTTATGAGGAGGAGGGGTGCTGAGGGTGCTCGCCAGCCTCTCAAATAACGGCTACAAGAAAAACCAACACAGTGGCAGCGAATGCTCAGGTTGACCCTTCAAAATGAGGAGTCTGAAACAAATGAGCAATGTCACTTTTATACATCCACTGGTCATTTTATTAGGTACACCTTCAGATCTGCCATTATTTATCATGTCATAGATTCAACAAGAGATTTTTGTCCATGTTGACTTGATGGCATCACACAGTTACTGCAGATTTATCAGCTGTACATACATGATGTGAATCTCCCATTCTACCACATCCCACAGCTGACCCTATTGTCTGAATGCCACAGCAGAAATTGAGTCTTATCTCGTCAGACCTGGCAACATTTTTCCAATTTGGTATATCCAGTTTTGGTGAGTCTGTGTGAACTATACCCTCAGTTTCCGGTTCTTAGCTGACAGAAGTTATACCCAGTGTGTCCTTCCACTGCAGTAGCTGAGCTGATTAAGCTGGTTCAAGGCTCAGAGATGCTCTTCTGCATACTTTGGTTGTAATTGTTATTTGAGCTACAGTTCTATATTGATGCATCAGCTCGAAGCAGACCGGCTGATTAGAGAAGGTGCTATGAAAAGGTGTACCTAATAAAGTGTCCAAGAAGATTTATTTCACATTTTAACGTCAGGCTACGACGCTGTTAGATGAACGAATCACACCTTGACAAAGAAAACATAAATTAACTTTGAATACTTGTGGGTCAGAGCTCTGACCAATACTCACATAGTCAAATTTCTCTGCGTTGCTTACACTTTGCTGCGGAGAAAACAAAATAAAGAGTCGTTAGCACGGTTCATTTATAGAGAGAAATCTCAGAGGATAAAGCACGGCATCACAAAAGATTATTTTATAAAATGATAAATGATAATTCTGACCAACTAGATTTACATAATTAGCAGGCATGAACAGCTCTGATTACAAATAAAGTGTAAAAATCACACGAGCTTTGCCAAGAGTTCAACAAACTATTAATGCGATCAGTTTGCGGATAGATTACAAAGAGGGAAGTTTGAAGGGAGACTTAGCAGACGTGTTCATGACATCTCACTGATTCCAATCCAAACAGTCAAACCTGTTTTTAATATATATGACAGCTCTGACTGTGTGCATGTTTCTACAGTAAGTCTGCAAGATGTGGGTGTATGCAGGCAGGTGTGTATTATAAGTTAACACTGTGCAGGTGTGTGTGTGTGTGTGTATATATTTGAGGTGAAGAGGGAGGGAGGGTTGGCCTTCGTCACAGCTTGTAGCTCGCTGATGTCCCGCAGAGAAAACACAGCAAAGGAAAAACAAAACAAAAAAACATGGCCACACATGCACATTTAAAGTGCTGTAGCATCAGTTTTAACTTTACTTGTAGAGCTTTAAAACTGTGGCGCTGATGGAGATGTTAAAGAGTCACTACTTGAAGTTTCTACAGAGCTGATTGGAGGAGAATAAAAAAAATAGAGAGAAGGGAGAGGAAGAGGATCGGGGGAAGTGGGAGAGAATGAGGAGATAGATATGGAAAAGGAAGAAAAAATTACCAACGTCATTTGACCTGCTGCTGCAGTCATTATTTCCCACAGTTCCTAAGTCTGCAAAATATGCAACATACAAAAACAGCAACAACATGTAGCCTTCAAGCAGCATGTAACAACAGTTTGGGGGCATACTGCCACGGCAAAGCTCCTCACAGCGGGTTTCCCCACCGAAGGTTAAAGGCTAACTGTGCAACCTCACCAACGGCTTTACAGTTAAAATCAAAATCAAAAGAAACACATTTAAAGAAAAGAGACACTGATGAGCCGATGTGAACACAGACACATGTTCTGAGTTTGAGTTTAAGGCCTGAGGACTTCAGACTGCATCATTAATTAGTAAGAAAGCTGTGAGTGAACCTGTCGGACGGCTGTGAGCGTCTAAGGAAGTCCTCTCTGTATCACATGGTGGTTCAAAAACACAGAACCTGATCAGCTCAGACTTTAGCGAGGCTAATGTTAACTCGAGCGTGCCTGCAGAGCTGGAGTCCAGACATGTTCAGTAAAAGTTTTATGATTCAAGAAGCAGCAAGTTCAACCAAGCCGGTGTTGAAGTGTTAAAAACTGCAGTTCCACTAATGTCCACTTGAGGCCGACTCAAGCAGAGATCCAGTCCCTGCAGACTTCCGCGTTAAATCAACTTTACAGCACAAATAATGTTTGGTGCCTGATGTAAGCAAGTCGTCTCTAGGCTTCACCTCAGCCTGTGTTTGTGCTCTTGGAGTCTCTTTAATTCAAATAAAAATGGCGGCTGAGCAGTTAATTTTACTAACAGACCATCCAGGAAGGATGGTGCAGTTTAGATGAGTGAAATTAGAGGATTTTATTTGAATGTTATTCAGCAGTTAGCAGCTATCTGTGCACTGCCCCCATACAGTTTATGCTCCTGTTCAAGTCTGGTAACTTCTGACTCCAAATGTTTAAGTTCATCTTTTTTTAAAGCAGTTTTTATGCATAATATAAACCCAATGTAAGCTGGAACCCACAGCTGCCCTTAATTAACAGTATTATAATTATCAAAATAATTCTTTATGTTTCTGTAATTGTTAATCCACCTGTATGTGAAAGCTCTTTAATCTAAACTGTATTTTAGTGATAAAATATAATTATTATCGTTATCCATAAATTTTTGAACTTATTCTTTAAAAAAAAAAGAAAGAGAGAGAAAATAGTAAAGAAGATTTTTTTTTATTAAGATGCCAAATTATTGTTATTTACTTGTATTCCTGATTACTTTCTGACTTCTCAGAGAAATCCCGTGTGAGAGCTTTGCATGACTGGGTGGAAGTGTTGATGGTGTTAGTAAAGCCGTAATGTCACATGACAGTAAGGATAAACTGTAGTGAGAATTTAATTTTTTAGTCCTGATTTTGGTGCAAATTCAAACTTTTGAAGCAGTTTAATGGGTCTGATGGGTGTCTGTCAATAGAAAATTGTACTTAGTAGTCAGTATAATCTTTTAGTGATATAAGTTTGCATATTATAGAATACTGCATGATGACCCTTTTATGACTGTTGTTGGAATCAAGACTTGCTTTATAAATTCTTTCTCACAGTGATAATAGCTGAGCAAGCTGTTATCATTTCACTCCTGCCAGGAAGAGGGGAGCTGGATGCTCTTATCTTCAAGAAGAGGGGCAATGTCCTTCAGAATAACACACACACACACACACCTGAACCACTTTTATCTTCACTCCCTACATACTAACATTCCTCTGTTAATGAATAGACGTATTCACTGTTGTATTACTTTTGTATATAAATAAAGGCAGGTGCAGGAGACAGAGCGCACATCACAGGGCCCCCACTCTGGTGTGAGCGTTCTGTGATCGCCCTTGCAAGTAAAAACTGCAGCGTCTGTGTGTTTCTACCTTTAGATTCTTAGCTGAAGAAGTGTCTTTAGAATAAATCTCTTGACAGTGTCTCTGTCCGTGCTTTACAGTTTAAACATAACAGAGGTGTCAAAATACAATGTGTGGAGGCTTTTATTGCCAAACTTTAATTGAGAATCAGTGCAGCCTATTTTTCCCTGGTTTAAGAGTGTTTTGGCTAACCTAAACATGTCCAGACTCCAGCTCAGTAGGAAGCATTTAGTGACTCTGACACATGAATGATAAACTGCCTGCAAAACAAACAGTTTGTTTTGGTCCTGAGAAAAACGATCCAGCTCTTAATGCTAAAAGCTGCGGGTTGATTTTATCACAGGGTTTCCTGCTCTACCTCCTCCCACCCAGATTTATTTTATATCATTCAAACATTTAAAATGACATGCAGGCGTTCGTCCATCTGATGACTGATTTTTGTGACTTTTAGTCTCGCATCTGCTCTCTCGAATGTTTCAGTTTTCATTTTAGCTTCTTTTTGTTCATTTTTACTGCGATGCTCTTATTTTGTTATAAACCAAGCTCTTCCCTTTTTCTACCTTTTCTTTAAAAGCACAAAGTCATGCACTTAAATTCAAATAAAGCCGAGTTGGAACAAATGTTTGGTCATCCATCTACAGAAAGTAAAGGCCAGATTATTAATGGTTTAGAGGGATTAACATTTCCTGCAGTTGCCTTTGGGTTGCAGTGCAATTAATCAAAATCTAATTAAAATCACGATTTTACAATACAGTGCAAAGTTTACTGTTTCAAAAGTTCAAAAAGTCTGTGGTTTTTCCATCGGTTCTTCTTTGCTTTCTGCTCGTCTACCATGCAGATCTCCCAAATACTCACCTAAACTCCCTAATGTGATGACCGTGTGTCACTTCAACTCCTCCGCCTCTTTTGTCCCTGCATTTATTTGTTTTCATTTGATTTAAATTTAAAAATCATACCCCTGTAAAAAGACGTTTTTTTTTAATTTCAGTAAATAAACGTGATTACTATTTTTGTCGTAAACGTGGATTCCTGCCTTATTCCAGTTTGGGACCAAAGGACCGGAGAGAAGACAGCGTTTAGTCTAACAGCATTTTTGTAAATGAGCCTGCTGCTGTTTAAACTAATTTTGTCCTCTGCTTTGATTTAAATTAGGAGTGTTAAGAGTCTGCACTCCCCTTTGCTCAGCTGCTGTTTTTCAATCACGACGCAAAAGCTGCGTGATAAACGTCCCTCTAATGTGAAGCTAACAGATCATGAGGCAAAGTGTAGTCACTTTAAAAACGGTTTATCTGCAGGGTGAAAATGAACAAGAAGCACAAATAGAAAAGAAAGATCGAATGAACAATGTTACAATAACATGTGGTCACTGAAAACACACAGACCTGAGCTACCTTTAAATACAAAAAGATCCAAATCACTCTTCTCTGGACTGCTTCCACTCAAGTCCAATAAAAACTAAAAGTAACACCTTGAAGCTTTGGCAATATATCAATGCAGCTGGGATGAATCACTTCATTAGTCATACAGGATAAAGTCTAAGTGCTGGGGACAGAAAAAACATAGGTCACCTCCAGAAAAAGCTGCAGCAATCGATCGTTAAAGTCAGTCATGACGCAATAAAGGGGATCAAACATCTACTTGAAAGGCTTTAAAGTGTTTTTAAATGTAACTCTGCCAGAGGAAAAGCCTATGACAAAGCTGGCATTTAAGCCAGGTTTAATATCTCCTTTGTTTGGGGGGTCAGACTGTGAGCTGCAGCTGGTTTGATCTCTCACCAGAAAACTTACTGAATCTACGTTAAGGCTGAGATAAAATCTGAAGGTGTGCATTTTAACCTGTGCTTGCTCTCCGTGCAGGTTATTTTTAGTCTGTGTGGTTGAAGCGTGTGAGCTGGAGCAGCTAAGTGTCCTTCAGGAGGGATTAACGAGACTTTTAATCACCACAACAGGACACACGCCTAAGGGCAGTAACTTACAAATACCTCGAACTGAGTCAGTCGTAAACACGAGAACACAGTGGAAAGAAAATCATGAGTTTCACAAGAATCAGTTAAATAAGTCAGGAAATGGCAGGTAAATCATTAAAAGCAGGTTAATTAACCCCCAGGCCCACAGCCTTACATTACCCCTCATTTTATCTCACTGATAAAGCAGCTCAGTGACGCCCACATTACAAGGAATTTTCTGAGGTTTGAGAGGAAGTGACACACAGACTGGACGTAAACAAACACAAACACACAGAGGAGGAGGACAAAGTGTGACTGCTTTTACCTTTATGAGTGAAGTACAAACAATAGCGCCAGCATTCACCATCGGGTTGTGCGGCTTATCTGCAAAACAACGAGAGCTCCGTTAGCGTGCTACGAAGGATCAAAGTGCAAACATTTGGCCTGAGAGCTGTGCATATACACAGATCAGAACACGAGGGTCAAGTGCATACACAGTAAACACTGACTCAAGATAATACAGAGAAACACAGCGGAGGCTGTAGCAGCTGAAACAGTCACAACATCTGATTTGAAATAAATAAATACAAGTATAAAACCGAACAAGTCTCTATGTGGCTTGCAAAAAAAACAGATGTATGTAGTCTAAGGAGCTGAGAAAGAAATGAACTATACTTCTGTATGTTTTGTGTATATATGTAAATAATGTAATGCTACTGTTAAGTGTTTATAAGCAAGTTTTTGTTGTTCATACAGTGGACTAACAAAGATTAAGAAAACAAACACTCCAGGCCTGCTAAAAACCACCCACAGGGCAGATTTTTGCTGTAATGTGTAAAGAAAAGTGCGGCCTACTGTATTTAAAGTGTAACTTTCAACCTGAGCGTTTGATGGCAACTGGCCGCTTGTTGATGTTTGTGTAGCTGTAAATGCAGGAATGTGCTGGCGGGCTGACAAAGTGTGTGGCAACTTGCTGCTGTATCTGTGGTATGCTGCTGATGATCTAACTCTAACTCAGGACTCTGTGTACATCACACAGCCCAGTGAGAACCATCTGTATGTATGGACAAGTTTAAAACTTATTGTTGTTACTACTGTACAGGAGTGCAGTGTTTACAGTGTTGTGTGAGTGTGTGTGTGGAGGCGTGGTCGTGAACATAGTGAAAAATAAATCCAGCACTTTCCTCCTTCAGATCTCTGAAAGAGCTTGAACGCTTACATCACCTGCATTTCCTTGTGGTCATGTGATCACTTACACAACATTATCCCCTTGCAGGGCTGCTCTGGCAGAAGGCGGGTGAACACAGGAAGTGACCATGACATGTCTGCAGTGTGAGCCTCAGCCTGGGGATTCTGGCATTTCCTCTCAAAATGCCCATTTTTGAACAACCCAACCACGTGTTCTCCCACAATGCATCTGACTACTCACAGCTCTCACACTCGTTCTAACCAATGCTACAGCTAGCTGAGCAGCGATGGCAGGCCGTGATAGCCTCCCCCATCAAGCATCGCAGTGAGATGCAAGCGCATGTGCTGATAAAAGAAGCCCTTAGTCTTTATTAGCCATGTGTCGCCTCTGTCAGTGTGCCCCAGGGTGGCTGTGGCTACAATGTAGCTTGCCATCACCAGTGTGTGAATGTATGGGTGAATGGGTGGATGACTGGATATGTAAAGCGCTTTGGGGTCCTTAGGGACTAGTAAAGCGCTATATAAATACAGGCCATTTACCATTTACAGGCCATGTGACTGAGGTTTAATAAGCTGAACTGTTTTTCCACACACCTACACACAAAAGCAACACACGCCCCCTTTTGTTGGCTTTTTTGGGCATGTAAAAAAAAAACAGCTAACACAGACTTGTTAAAAAACTTGATCTAAATATAAATGAACCTATTCAGGGGGTCAACATAGGCCTGCATGTTTTTAACCCTACAAAAAAGTAGTGTGCCAAGACATGTGGCCAGGCGAGGGGGCTGCTTCGCTGGATTTCTGACTTATTGTGATTTAAGAACATCTGACCCTCGCATCATATCTACCACTTAAGTCTTCCACCAACTTCCTGTACCCTGCACTAGCTCTTCATCGCTTTACTTGGAGGACAAGGTTTAATAAAAAGTCCAAGACAACTCACCATCTTCATTCAGGGAGAGCTTGTTGAAGCGGAGGCCGCTGGGCTCCTTCCCGATGAAACTGTGCACGTACTCCGTGCTGTGGTCGTGCACGGCGACAGCATACTTCAGAGGCTTCACACAAGACTGCATGCAGAAGGGGACCTTAGTGTCTCCCACCGTATGTCTGCAACAAAAACATAAAGATAGGACGTTATCAGAGCAGGCCGCAGGCTGCGGGTTCAGTGATTAGAGACAAGAAGAAGCCAGAACAGACACGTGAAAACAGTGAGTGTTTCACAATTTGTAGGAAAGTCACGATAAACTGAAGTAACACTGTGTAAAAACAAAACCGTTATCTTTACAACTGTCAAGGTTTGTTAAACAAACTTTTATGAAAGTTTACAACCACTAATCAGAGAACAGGTCGATCAGAACGCCTCCTGACATAGTTACTGAGAAATGGTTATTTCTTTGCACATGTTTTGTCTTTTCTGGGAAATACAAGTGGGATAAAATCAACAGTTTTAACCAGCTTGAACCAGGACCGCCATACAATAATTAAAAAACAAACAAACTGGTTAATCTAATGTTTCTCTGAAATATAAACACTGACCTTCACAAAGATTACTGCACTAAAACAGGTAATATAATGTATAATGTAATATAACACCTTAATTTCTTTTCTGCGGTTGCCTGGTGACTGTAATGATTTATTTCTGCTGTCAGTGACCTGCTGCAGGGTGCTGTGCCAATTGAAGATTAATTGTCCAACAGAGTTAACCTCTGGGTGACCGTGTTTGAGCATAAAGGTGATTGCATAGGTCGCCCCGGTGGGCTGCAACTTGTCTCCTAGCAACCATTCTCTCACAGATTGGTAAAGACTTGCAGATAACTGCTGTTGACTTTGTAAACGCAGATTACCAACAAGTTGCAATTCATCTAAATCAGTCTGTGCCGATGAGCTCAACATGTCAGCATCTCTTTGGAGATGAGCATATATACAAGCAACTGAACTCGACTCAGCTGCTTGTTTTCTGATTACGTTCCTGTGTAAGAGCGTTCGGTGTCATTCTGCAGTTAAATTGCTGTCCTTTAGCAGGTTTGTCGCTATTTGTGGAAGAAATTCTGTTTCAGATCTCGGAGGTTCTGGCTGGAATCTAAATGTAAATAAATAATGTGAATTTCTGATTTCTGATTTTGCAGACAGCAACAGATTTGCGATTTTCATTGATTTAAAGTTAATTTTATCAAAAACAGTTTACATGAAACTCCAACTTGACTTTGTTTAACTGCAACCTGATAACAGTCTGACTCCATCTTACTGGTGTTTTAATCACCATCACAGGCCTAGTCCCCGTCTGCAAAGCATCTACATCAAAGGTAGCACCATCACTGTTCTTTGGGTTGTGCCACCAACTCTAACACCTAATTCTCTCCCAGTATGACTCCAGTAAGGATGTTAGGATTTCGGGTATTTGCATCCTTGACCTCATTCATTCAGTCACTTTGTACAGCTCGTGACCACAATTAAGGGCAGGGCTGCATATCAACAGGTAAATCCAATCAAAAAACAGCAGTTAGAATTTAACGATCTGCTGTGGAAACTTCTGTTTCTTCTTCTTTCTTTAGGTCTTAAAAAATCTTAAGATAAGATGAAGGTGACAGAGTAAAACACAGCACCATCTCAGGATCATTAACCAGGTTTACTGAGGTTTTAATAAAAAACAATGCGTAAAAACTGTCCTGTTAGCGTTCCTCACTTCACTCCTGGAACATTATTGTGTTATTATTTAACCAGCATATAGCTGAACATGGCGATTTCACACAGCAACAGTGTGTGAGAACCATTAAGCAAACATTAAGTATTAATGTGCTACCAGCGTCTCACCTCTGCCCGTCCACCGTGCACAGAGAGACCGCCCACAGGTCGGGGTTGAACTTGGCCAGCTGAGGAATGTAGTCTGCAACCTGAAAGAGAGGGCAGGCATGTGAGAGAGGAGGCAGGTCACCTTACACTGCTGACGTCTGCCGAGGCTCAGGCTTCAGCACACAGCACACACACAGAGCTGGTAATACACAATAACAAACCTCAGAAGGAAGAATCCACCCTCGGTCATTCAAAATAAGTTAAATTAGGACAACATGCTAATTTATCTTCAGCTACCATCATGATAGTGGCTCACTTCCTGCACGCTTATTATTCAGACTAAGAAAGGCCGCTTTTAAAAACAGTTTCATATTAAACACGGCAAACACCTGTAGTTTCTGTGAGTTAAAAGCTCTAAAGAGTCCGTTTCAAATAGTTCTTTCTACTCTTGGCTTAAATGTTTCAGGTTAGCACAGAAGCCCAATATAAGATATATAAGGATCGCTTTAAACTAATAATCATGCAAAACTACTCTAGAAGAGTCCAGGAATAAAAACATGAGCTGGAAACATCAGATCAGATTCTTATCAAATAAAAAGAAAGTCTTCATCTTGTCTAGCAGAGCACCAGTTCGGCTTAGAAGCTGCCATTTTTCTACAGAGAAGACTTTTACAGACAGGAAAACACAGCTAGGGAAGCAGCGACTGTGAAATTGTGAATCGATACTGATGTTTAAATTTAGGATGATATTTTATTTAAGTCTTTCTTTTGTTAGTGATTATTTCCTCTTTGTTCAAAGGAACAAGGAACGGGTCATTTATCTGATGTGACACCTTATAAATACAGACCACTATAACCAGGGCTGAGTCTGTATTTCTGCTAGATGATTTCGCCTCTGCTTTTTTTAAAAAATGTTTTAGTTTAACAGGTCAAACATCCTCCCTCCTACAACCCTGCTGGAGTAAACAGCCCTCTATTAGGTTGTTAGTTTTCCGTTTAATTTAGGAATATTACCCGATAATTCTCCTTTTTATGACTTTGCTGACTTTGTTTTGAATGCCTGAACGTTTTCACAGCGAGCGCCAAACAGATGACGCAAACAGAAATGTGCTGCCAGTGAAAATCCTGCACTCTTCTGCGAAAGTGACAGCTAGCTCACAGCGGCCTCAAACATCCCTTTAACTCGTCTGAGGGCAGATTTTTCCCTCCGAGGCTCGACTGATCCAAACTTTCGACTGCACCTGAGAAGAGACTGATGGTAATGGCTAAATTATAACCATGATGCAGAGAGAAAGAAAAATCCATGGATCTAAGGACACACCTGCCCTCCAGTGAGATTTTTGGCATTCTCATACAGCTCATCAATATGGGAGGTGAAGGACTGGAAGTCTGGGATGACGAACTTCTTGCGGAAGGCCTGAGTGAGCAGGACAATGTTGCTCTGGACACACCTGATGAATAAATCACAGAAAGCATGCTAAAACATCGGGACTGCATGCAACTGGAGGTAAAGTTTGCAACCCTGAAGTCTGACAAACTTTTGTGACGTGTTTGATGAAGAAGCTTCATCAGAACAGTTTGATCAGCAGCTCATTTTGTCCTGGAAGGAGCCTGATCCAACATGAGCGCACACACTGATGAATGAGAGATTTCACACACTGTAAAACCATGAAGGAAGTAACCAAAGCTAAGCAGCAGCGCCAGCTGGGATGGATCAGTTTAACCGACAATTATGTTTGAATCAAACCCCCAAATCTTACAAACGAGGGCTGTTCCATACATCGCACGTTTTGTGTGTTAGTGACGTGACTTCAGGAGATGAGTTTGAGGTGAGGAGGAAGAGGACAACATTTTATTAAGATGCTGGCGGTGTTATGTTTCCTTTGTGCTTTTGTTTCTTTGGTGAATGGGACCCCTTCCCCAACAACACATAGTTAAGATGCTTCATATCTTGAGTCTGAAAGTGCAGGCAGGAATTAAAGAGCTATACGAGCACATGAACGCCTACGACCTCTCTCCTCCTCCACCTTGATGTACTTCCCAGCCACTGAATTTAAATATAGTGGAGGAACATGGCGGCTTCCACGAACCACAAACCCACTCCTATATTTTTAATGGATTAAATGTAAGTTTATGAAACACATCAATTTGTTGGAAGACATAATTTGCACATTAATACATATCTGTATATATTTATACTATGAGTACTTAAAAAAATACTAACTCTGTACCTTTAAAAAGCTCCACCCAAAATAAACTGTCCCTGATAGAAAATATTTTCACTTTCACTATGTGACAATGTTGTGTAGCGCCTGACGAGTTACAGGGTTAAGTTATTTCAGTTATTGTTAAGCAGTTATTTTATACTTTTACTTAAAATTTCCAGGTAAAACACTGCCTGTGCTACTTTTGTGCTCACATTTTACTTGTGCTGTGTCACTGCTATTGCTGCTCCTGGCGCCTTCTTTCAATATATTCCTACTTTGAAGTAGGTAATATGTCATCGGTGACAGTAGCTCACTCGCCTTTGTTTTTCTAATGCTGCTTGCAAGAATGAAGAAAATGTTCAGTAATTTCTGGCTGACAATCAGAAAGACCAAAGAACACAGTCACAACTTCACATTCTGTTCACTTTGGGTTACAAATCAAGCGCACCACCTTATTTACAGCGGTGTGCTTTCACCCCTCCTGAAAGCTGGAGAAAATGTAATTTTCACTCATGCTACAATGAAATGAAGGCTTTCACTCACTGCAGCAAATTATTGCTAAATATGTTAATTTTAAGAAATTTTTTTTTTAAAAAAAAAAAAAGAAGAAAAATGAATATTTTAAAGCGAGTAACTGATAGCGTTAAATAACTGATCGAGCAGCCCTCGTGAATGAGAAGCTAAACTAATTCTGCACAATCATCTGCCTACTTCACACTTGATGAATATATTTTTGTGCTCATATAATAAGTAAATTCAAATACTTGAATTTGCTTATTAATAACACATGACCATCAACATGTGCTGAATGCTTTTTGAGGCTGCAGTCTGTGCAGTTTCCTTGAAAAAATGAAGAAAAAGGTGGAGATAAAAAAATAAATAACACCATAACGAGCAGCCTCACTTCTTGAAAAGGTGCCTGTCCAGTGTAACGCCATCTGAAGTCTTCTTTAGAGTTTCTTTCAGTGTTTCCATGCACTCCTTCAGTCGGGGATCTCCGGAACGAAGCCCCGTGGCTTTCAGTGCCTAAAATTAATTAAACAAAGAAGTTTTTGGTGAATATTTTCACATTTTTAAACACAGAAGTCAAAACTGTTTGGATGAAATATTCACATGAATACTAGGAGTGAAAAATGTCAGTTTACAGCCAACCAGCAGGTTTCTAGTTTTTATGTTTTAATTAATTTATTTCAATTAACTAACGCGTCTCCTAACACCCAGTTGTAGTGCACCATAATAACTCTGAATGTATGTGACCAAGCTGAATCTGAAGGACTTACTGTGAGAAATTTGTGAGCAGGAATCGTCTCTTGACCTTCGGCCACTGTGTAGAAAAGCAAATCCTCCAAACTTGGGAGAATCCCTGCGTTTCTTCTCCTGGGATAGAAAGAAAAGACAGAAAGGAGGCAATGATTAAGTCCCCAAAGCAGTATCGTTGCCTAAAAGCACTTTACACATGAGCTCTGATATAAAGTAACTGCAGCCTCTCAGGGTTGTTGACACACAGCAGAATCGCCCTTTAACACAAACCACACTACACCGTATTCTCACTTTTCAAGCCAGTGTAAACACAGAGCTTATCTTTGGCTGTTGATACAGCCATTTACACATTAGTGACAGATCTAATAGAAATAAGCAGGCCAAGCGTTAGTGACAAAATGTGTGTTTGTTAATACAGTAAATCCGAAAAACGGCTTTACTCTTTCTAAAACGCCACATTACTGAGTCTATCCTTTTATAGATGTAAATGAAACAGCAATGATGATGATTCATCCGGAGATGAGATGACAGATGTACTATAAACAATATTACTGTTTGTATCAGACACAAAGTTTAAATTGATACTTCCGGCGCCGTCTCGGATGGCAGCCTGTCTAACATGCTCTCTACAGTTGAAAATTACTTTCCTATTTTGGCGGCTCAGGTCCTTTAATGTTTGTAGGAAAATGCTGACAATGTTCTGTCACTCTGTGGTAGAGAGTGTTGTGTTCTTTGCAGCTGTGTGCTGGGGCAGCGGGGTGAAGACAGCCGATGCCTACAGGCTGAACAAACTGATTAAAAAGGCTGGTTCTGTCCTGGGTGTCAGACTGGAGAACCTAGAGGAGGTGTCCGAGAGGAGAATGCTAAAAAGGCTTCTTTGTATCATGGACAACCCCTCCCACCCCATGCACGCCTCCATGATGGACCATCGGAGCACACGCAGCAAAAGACTCACTGCCCCGAAATGCAGAACTGACGGCCACAGAAAATCCTTTGTACTGGAGGCAATAAAATTATACAACTCTTCCTCACTCTGTAGGTGATTTTCCTGAGGATTAATAAAAAGCTATTCTGTTTCCATTCAGACCGTGCAATATCACCCAACAGTTTTTTCATTGAATGTTTGTTTCATCTCCCCATCATATGCTGCTACTCTTGTATCCATTTGCACAAAACTATGTCACTTTTGCAATCACCTGCACTGATAGCTAAGCTAAGCTATTTATTTTTCAGGATATAGTTATACTGTTACTTGCTACAGTTATTCGATATTATATTTTGCACTATCCTACTGC